GTAAGTGTGGCAAACAGATTCCCTGAGGGGAAGAAAATCTCTTTCTCTCCTCCTGAAATTTAGTATTCTTCAGAAAGTGTTAATGGTGGATAAGTAAAAACCATAAGTAGAGTTAAATTAGACTGTGTTCGTAAGATGAAAAAATATATCAAAGTTAGTTTTAATATCTTATAAATTCCCCCAAATGCCCTATAATTATTGTTCTATCAGTCCTCACCAAATCCTTAGTCCTCGTGACACTCTCTTGGGCAGAAGGCAATGTCTAAAATGAATCTATGTCTGATGTTTCATTATCACTCTTTGGTTTGGTATAAGAATATTCATGATGGAATAAGTTGTCATAATTTTTACTACTATTACAAGTCTCTAAACCATTTATGAACTGTAGTGAAGACATTGCCCATTTTTACAAACCGTAAAATGTGAAGTTTAACTGTTACCCACAGTTTACATAGAAGCTAGTAAAGTGTAACTTTTTGCCTGTCTTATAAATCAGTGTAATTACATATTCAAGTTTAATTACTGGTGCGTCTGTATTGGCAAGGTTTATATGTTATATTTTATGCAAGACTACGATTCCTATTAATATTTAGCAGCTAACTATATCATTAATTACTCTAAAATCTTTCCCCTACCATCTTTTTAATGGAGCTGAGAGACTAGAAGTATTAAAAATTGATGTATTGTGGATTTCAGAAATGTGTATGACACTTTTTTAAATGCCTGATCTTATTCAAAAGTGTTAGCATATCAGTTGCTTGTTTACTAAGAAGTATTGACCCTTTGAATACCAGGGGAAAATTAGAATCTGGATAATAAAGTGGATAGAACATTTTGTTGTTAGGATGAGTTAATTTATGTTCATACTTTGTTGAGTTAAACAGCAGGTTCTTGTAACTTCAAGTTAATGAAGTAGGATTAGTTCTTTCTCCTATTTTTATGTTTTCATCTTCTTTTAATTTTTTGAATTAAATATTTAGTCAAAGACCGGAAAGAAAAATACACTCTTTATATGTGCCCATGTGTTTTCGTGAGACACTATTTTTGTTGACTTTTTAAATATTGTTTCTATCCAACAATTCAATGTGCCTAGTTGCCTTAAGGTACTTTTACTCTGTCATCTTTGTGAAAAACACACTGAACGCTAATGTGTTTCATCAGGTTCCAAACCATTACTTTTCCAAAATGGAAAATTTTGTCTTTTGGAAGAGTCTTTAGATGTATTGAATAATACAAAAGGAGTAATAAAACTCAAAGTAGAAAGAACATGACTATATGCTCTTGAGAGTAGCACTACTCTAAAACAAGGAAAGCGAGCAATCAGACAGAAGTTTTTGCATCCCTGCTTCAGCCTCTCAGCCATGCAATGGGTCACTGGAAGCCTTGAGTATGCTAATGCTCACTCTGTATAAAATGCTAAAACAATAAAACTTTAAAGAGCAAACAAGAGTCTGATCCTGTTTTCCTCTCTTAAGAAAAAGACCTAGTTCAGAGAAAGAAAGGCACTTGTAAGTGTGTAAGCTGTGAGTGCATCTCCTCTAGCTGTTAGGCAGTTTTTAGAGATAGTTATCAATCATATACAAAAGCTATATAAAGAAAAAAATTTTAAAAGGTAATTGTCCAGTGCTAAGAATATTGACATAAAAAGATAATAACTTAATAGTTTATAAAATGTTATTCTTTAGAACCTGAAAAAAATAATTAGGTAAATTATGATGCTGTTAGGTTAGTATTCTTCACTTGGCAATTGATGTTTGGGATTTTTCATTTTATTATAAATTTAATTAAAGTTTAACTGAGATATCTCAAAAATAATAGTACGTGTAAAAAATATAAAATTGCATATTTAATACCTATGTATTACTGCTGTGAGTTTATAAAATTAATATGTTTTAGGCTAATATACCATACCTTTTATGCTCAGATGAATTAGTGCATATAAAAAGTGCTTACGTTGATCTTCCATAGATAAAAAGAAAATCTCTTTTGGCTATGGATTTCAGAAAAGAGGAAAAGTAGAGGTAGCTCAAATTTCGTCTTTTTCTAAATGATATGTTAAAATTTTAATTATCTTGAAAAACTTGAGTCAGTATTCACTCTCTGAATCTGTTTCACCTGTTAAGTCTATGTATGCTAGCTGTCACATATTGATGAGATTCATTTTGGTACACTATCATTGTTTTTCTAGTTTTAAGATGCCTGTACTTAAAGCATCTTATACCATTAAGAGGCAAAGGAAAAATATTGATCTAATTCTCTCCTTTATCATTTGGCTGCAAATAATTGAATACAGTTCAAAATACTTTGGAAATTAAACAGACCTCAAAAAAATTATGGAACATTCCAAGAGCATGGTTTTTGTTTGTTTGTGTGTTTGTTTGCTTGACCTGAAATGAATTCACACACTTTGTTGCTCTGGAGAGGCTTGGTTAATGATTACAATTACAATAGGCAATGGGGTCCAGTGATATCTGTGTGTAGACTGTGGCCCTGCACTCTCAGGATTCCAGCCCCACACACAACGCATTTGATCCTAGTCCAGTGGGAATGGACAGGTTACTTAACATTCCCTTCATCAGTTTTTTCTACTCATAGTGTGCTGAAGTAGTAATTAATACCTACCTCATAAGATGTTCGTAAATGAATACCTGCAACATAATCATTGTTTCCTGTGACTCTCATAGTGCTAGTTGCCTAGGTATTGATTTATATAACCTCTTGTAATATTTCATCATTACTGTAAAAAGGGCTATAAACAATACAAAAACTTCTTTTTGCATTTTTATGTTTGTATGCAGTCCACAAACTTGTTGTTTCCTAGATAATCCCTTTTCCCTTCCTCCTACCTGTCCTTTATAATTCATAAAGTAAACATTTTGTTGAAACTGAAATAAATGGACTGAAATGTGTTTTGGGGGGCACACTACTCAGAGTAGATGGGATAAAGGCTTTTTCATTAGGCACATTTCTGGGCAATGAACAATTCAGAGAGTGAGGACAGTGCCAACCAACCAAGTATCAGGAGTCCATAATATATGCCCAGAAAATAAAGAGAATTAGGTTTGACTGGAATTTAGCATACACGAAAGAAAGCTGAATTTAGACTATATAAAGATGGGACCATATTCTTCTGTGACTTGAACATCACACTATAATGATTCTTAGTATTTAGGGAGCTTCTTGATGTTGTAAGTTTGAGTTTGATGTACTCAGAGCTGTGCTTTAGGAAAAGCGATCATATACAATTGTACTAAATACATCATGACTTGACTATGTATGCATTTGTATTTAGTTATGTGTAGCCAGATATTCTGAAATTTAGAGACAATGAAAGCAGAAGATTCATTCCTGCAGGATGTTATACCTGGTTTAAATGCACAACTAGGAGTGGAATAGTTAGGAAATGATAAGAGAAATACCACTGCATAATAACCACCTGAATGGTGGGGACAAAAAATGAGGGGAAAAATCATAGTTCCTCTAAAAACCCACAGAGAAATGGAAAACTCAAGTCAAGCTAAGAGACGAAAATGGTAAGTCCAGAATTTCACTTATAAAATCAAAGAAGTTAAATATCCATAGATCCAAGGGGGATACAGCTAAAACATTTTGTTGGTTTAGTCTTTTTATTCAAATCCATAGTAGTAAACTCAGTGTAAAATATAAATATATATCACAGGTTTGTAAAGAAGTTTTGAGGCATAAGCAGAATGAAATAGATAATGGTAATGTTAGGGTTCCTGAAAAACTATTTTTGTAGAACAAGAGATGCTCAATTAGCATCCATGTTTTATCATCCATATTTTAGCACTTCCTGCCTTCCCAGTTTTTACTCTCACTGTCCTTGAGTGAAGACTTTTACAAGTTAGTGTGTTTATGCTGCCTTTCTCTCTTTGCCTTTCTGCCCTCTTTTCTCTGTTTCTCTGCTTTCTTTCATAAATATTTTGCCTTTTACATTGATTGTATTTCCTATTTTTCAATATAATTTTTTCCAAGTATAAGGGTTGGTCCTTATTCCATTATTTGGAGCTATGTATGCTTGGTTGTTCCTATCTGTGCCCATGGCCACTTGTGTATTCAAGCATACATGCCTACTCATTTTTGGATATCCTTAGCTTAATGGCAAGTTTCTTAAGAACAGAGACTACATTTTAGACATCTTTTAATATAGGAAACCCCTAACACGTTCTACTGTATGCAGTGAGCATACAATGAAAATATGGCACACATTGTGAAGAATCACATTGGAGATGATATTTAATTAGAAATAGTTTACCTTAAAAGTAGCAATCATTAGAATAAAACTCAGACCTCCCTAAGCCCTGAAAAAGGAAGAGTAAAAGAGATTTTAGGAAAAAAGAAAATATAGATATGATATTTATCTTTATGTGGAAACTTAAGAGACTTTTTTCAAAATATTAATAGAATATACTTTATAAGTTTTATTTTTATTCAGATTGTTGGAGTAATATGTTTTATGACTGTCTAGATTTATATGACTAGACGCTTTCACTCCTCTTCACCTCATTTGTGATTATCTTCCCGAACACAGTTAAATTTTATCTTGTTGAAAGCAAATTAACAGGAAAAAAAAAACCCTTGGAATCCTGTAATACAAATCTCAGATGAATGTTCAAACTGATTTTAGCAAAATGTAGAAAAGATTAAAGTCGGATAGCGCTGAATACATATTTTTTGAAGCTTGTTTGACTCTTGTCAGTTAACTATTTGTCGTTTCAAAGTAAGTGTGTGATTTTTCTTTTTGGCTGTTTTGCTGCTGTTCAAAGAGTTCTAGAATCATGCGTAGGATGAATAAATGTAACGAGTACTTCCTTTTAAGAATTTGAGCTGAACATTATTACAGTTTCTGACACTGTCATCCATGGATGTCTGTGCTAGTATTCTTATGGTCATGTTTTTCTGAGTTCTATAGATGAAAATTTGTTCTTACTTTTTACAGTTGTTTACTTTCCTAAAAGCTCTTTTAAAATTTATGAGTG